CCCGACCCGACCCGACCCGGACCGCCCGCTCGGGTTCTCACGTGTGATTTCGATCATGCGCTACACTTGATCGTCGCGCCCGCCCGGCCCGACCCGCCCGTTTGGGCCCGCCCGCCCGACCCGACCTGACCCGCCCGTGAGGGTCCGCACGCCCGACCCGAGCCGACCCGCCCGTTAGGGCACGCGCACGTGAACTCGATCGCGCGCCATCTTTGAATGTCCCGCCCGCCCGATCCAGACCGCCCGTTAGGGCCCGCCCGCCCGACCCGACCCGACGCGCCCGTTACGGCTCGCCCGCTCGACCCGACCCGCCCGTTAGGGCTCGGGCGTGTGAGTTCGATCACGCGCCACATTTTAATGTCCCGCCCGCCCGACCCGACCCGCCTGTTAGGGCCCGCCCGCCCGACCCGACTCGACGCGCCCGTTAGGTTCCGCCCGCCCGACCCGAACCGACCCGACCCGCCCGTCAGGGCTCGCGCGTGAACTCGAACATACACCGCGTTCTATCGTCGCGCCTGACCCGACCCGACCCGCCCGTTAAAGCCCACCCACCCGACCCGACCCGACCCGCCTGCTAGGGTCCGCAAGCCCGACCCGACCCGACCGCCCGTTAGGATACACGCACGTGAACTCGATCACGCACCACACGTTAATGTCCCCGCCCCGCCCGACCCGACCCGCCCAAAAGGGTCCGCCCGCCCGACCCGACCAAACCCGACAGTTAGGGTCCGCCCGCCCGACCCGACCCGACCCGCACGTTCGGGCTCTCGCGTGTGAAGTCTATCGTGCACCACATTTTAATGTCCCGCTCGCCCGACCCGACCCGCCCGTTCGGGTCCGCCCGCCCGACCCGACCCGACCCGCCCGTCGCTGGCGATGTCGTCCTCCTCTTCCTCCTCCTGTTGTTGTTGTTGTTGTTGTTGTTGCCTTTCTTTCCCTTTTGCGCACCCGCGGCGCCGGCGACGACGGCGACGACCGACGGGAGCGGCGACGGCAACGGCGGAGGAAGAAGAAAACGGGGGACGGAGGAGGAGGGCGGGGAGGAGGCGGAGGAGAGGGAGGGAGGGGGAGGGGGAGGGAGGAAGAGGGCGAGGGAAGAGGAGGAAGAGGCGGAGGAAGAGGAGGAGGTCATGGGGGAGGAGGAGGAGGAGGAGGAGGAGGAGGAGGAGGAGGAAGAGGAGGAGGAGGAGGAGGAAGAAGAGGAAAAAGAGGAAGAAGAGGAAGAAGAGGAAGAAAACGAAGAAGAGGAATAATAATAATAATAAGAAGAAGAGGAAAAAGAGGAGGAGGAGGAGGAGGAGGGAGGGAACGAGCCGGAAAAACATTGGGAGGAACTGGGTCCGTATAGTCTCCGCGCCGGCCACGCCGGCGGCAGCGGCGGAGGCTCCGGGCGAACGGGATGTGGGCGAACGGGTTCCGGGCGAACGGGCTTCCAGGCGAACGGGCTCTGGGCGAACGGGTTTCCGGGCGAACAGGCTCTGGGCCAACGGGCTTCCTGGGGAATTGGCCTCCGGGCGAACGGGCTTCCTGGCGAACGGGCCTCCGGGCGAACGGGCCTCCGGGCGGACGGTTTTCGGGCGAACGGGCTTCCGGGCGAACGAACTTCCGGGCGAACGGTCTCGCTTCGCCCGATCCGACCTGTCCCGACCCGAACCTTTTTGGGGTTCTCGCGTATCCATTCGATGATGCGTCATGCTTTAATGTCCCGCCCGCCCGACCCGACCCGCCCGTTGGGTTCCGCCGCGCCCAGCGCGACCCGACCCGTTAGGGTTCTCGCGTGTCCATTCGATGTCGCATGTTACTTCAATGCCCCGCCTGCCCGATCCGACCCGCCTGGAAGGGCTCGCCCGGCCTGACCCGACCCGCCCCGTTAGGGTCCACCCGACACGCCCCGTCTCGACCCGACCCATTCGGGTTTTCGCGTGTCTATTCGATGATTCATGATGCTTTGATGTCCCGCCCGCCCAGCCCGACCCGCACGTTAGGGTGCCTTACCATTGGGTCTACACCTTAGGCCTACCCTAGGTTTTCCTTCAAGCTTTCCTTAGCCCTAACCCCCTTAGGTATTGCTTTCCTAGGCTTACCCGTATCACATGCAGTTCGGCTACCATCCTGCCGCTCGACTGCAGTCGCTTCCGTCCGTCGTCCAGGGTCATGGCCCTGTCGAGTGTCGAATGTTGATTAAGTTGTTGGACGGCTGCTTGTGAACGGCGCTGGTCTCGTGCGTGCTCCCAGGGCGAGCGCGGCCAGCTGCTGGCTGGGCTTGCGTGTTGTGGCTTGGTAGGTCCTGCATCCAATGGCGCGCGCAGTGGGAGCTCCGTGACTGTCGCCCCGCTTCTACCATGGAAGGTTTTTGGCAATGCAGCTCGCTACCGCGTGGTATCTAGACTCGACGCCAGGGTCACGCAACGTCCATATGATGATCTTGTGCATGGAGTCGACCCCCGAAAAAATGGGATTCCAAATCTATTTGTTCTTTGTAGGTTTGCTTCCTGGGGTCCGCGTCAGTGGTTGGTCACCAGTGAAATCTCTAGGCGCATGTGGAGTGACGTCGCCGACAAGAATCGCAATTGCGACGGCTGCGTCATAGGGGGCGAGAACGCAGCGCAGTCATTGGAAGCGCGCGCAGTGTCACAACTGCTTGTAGACGGCAAGTTCCAGCGTTTGGTTGTCCAGGCGGGCGACGCAGAAATCGACTTGGACTCGGCCTTGTAACGGGCGCGACGCAAACCAGAAATACAAACAAAAACACGTCGCTAATCAATCGTTTGAGGCCTTTACGAGATCGAAGACAAGTCTCGAAGTGCATGAGGCGGAGGGCCAGGCGAGGTCTGAGCGCGAGGCTCCAGGCCCAGGGCGGTGTCAGGCGCGGCGGGGACGCGGCGGGGGGCGCGGCGGGGCGCGCGGTGGGGGGTGCGGTGGCGCCGGCGAGGTTTCTGCAAGGCGGGTGGCCCCTGAGGACCTGGGCCCAGGAAGCCAGGGGGCTGGCAGTGTCGATGGCTTCGGAGCACTTAGAGCTGGCGGTGTCAGGCGCGGCACGGGCGCGGCGGGGGGCGCGGCGGGGGGGGGCCGGCGAAATTTTTCAAGGCGGGTGGTCTTTGAGAACCTAGGCCCAGGGGGGCGCGGTGGAGGGCGCGGCGGCGCCAGCGAGGTTTTTGCGGCGTGGGTGGCGCCTGAGTGCCGAGGTCCAGGGCGCCAGGGTGTCGGCGGCGTCAGGCGCGGCGGGGGCGCGGCGGGAAGCGTGGATGGCCTTTCAGAACCTGGGCCCAGGAGGCCAGGGGGCTGGCGGTGTCGGGCGTGGTGGGGCGCGCGGTGGGGGGCGCGGTGAGGGGCGCGGCGGGGGGCGCGGCGGGGGGCGCAGGCGAGGTTTGGGCGCGGCGGGGGGCGCAAGCGAGGTTTTTGCAAGGCGGTTGGTTGGGGGAGGCTGGCGGTGTCAGGCGCGGCGGGGGCGCGGCGGGAACGCGGCGGGGGGCGCGGTGGGGGGCGTGGTGGGGGCGCGGCGGGGGGGGCTGCGAGGGGCGAGGTGGGGGCGCAGCGGGGGGCGCCGGCGAGGTTTTTGCAGGGCGGGTGGCTTCTGAAAACTTAGACCCAGGAGGCCAAGGGGCTGGTGGTGTGAGGCGCTGCGGGAACGCGGCGGGGGGCGCGGTGGGGGGCGCGGTGGGGCCGCGGCGGGAAGCGCTGTGAGGGGCGAGGTGGGGGGCGCGGCGGGGGGCGCCGGCGAGGTTTTTTGCGGGGCGGGTGGCTTCTGTCGTTGGTCCGCAAGATGCCCGCACCCAGGGCCAGCCAAGGTAAGATGGGCCGTCCGGGGGAGCGGGCGCTTGCTATTGTGCCCGGTCAGCTTGCCCCGCGCGCCCCAGTGCAGCATTCGCGCGTCGAGACGCAACGGCGCGCTCGATGGTTGGGTGTCTGATTGCAGCGACAAGCGCTGGTTTTTGTTAGGGACGTCTCGGGGCATCGCGGTGCATGCGCTGCTCCGTGCCGCCCATATGCGGTGGCGCCTGTCCCAGTCGATAAAGTGTTGCATTTCCTCGCTATCCTGGCAACCAATGCGTCTGGGCCTGCCCTGAGGAACGACGTTGCAATGTCGCGCCCCCAGGGGGCCGCAGCGGCCTCGTCGGGGGCGGCTCTGGAGGGCATGATATGTGCTCGAGAGCGTTTTGGGCCTGCCGCCACCTCGGCTAGGTACGGGGACCTGCCTGAAACCACCGAAATATACCCGGACCTAGCTGGGGTGGAGCTGCGGCACCCCGGCCTAGGTATGGGTATGTCTTTTTGGTTCTCATGGGGCAACCGCACCTAGCTGGGGTGATCCGCAGACGGCCGTCCAACGGCGGCGGCCTCTGGCGACCTCGCCCAGGGCACAGATTCGCGATGTCTCTGCATCGAGCAATTCGCGATAGGGCGGATGTCGCGCAATTTCGTTCGCACCAGAGTTGTTCGCATGCGCCCCCGAGTGCGCGTTGACTCCTCAACGCCCGGATGTGTGTCTGGGGGCGCGCCGCCGCAGTTTCGCGCTCGAGATTCCGAGAACCTAGGCCCAGGAAGCCAAGGGGCTGGCGGTGTGAGGCGCGGCGGGGGCGCGGTGGGGGCGTGGCGGGGGGCGCGGTGGGGGGCGCGGTGGCGGCGTGGTGGGGGGCGTGGTGGGGGGCGCGGTGGGGGGCGCGGTGAGGGGGCGTCGGCGAGGTCTTTGCAGGGTGAGTGGCCCTTGATAGCCGAGGCCCAGGAAGCCAGGGGGCTGGAGGCGGCAGGCGCGGCGGGGTCGCGGCGGGAGGCGTGGTGGGGGTTTCTGGCGTTTTGGTTTTGTTGTCGCAGGGTGGGTGGCTCTTGAGAACTTAGCCCCTGCGGGGCCCAGTTCGATCTCGGAGCGCTAGCGCGATTCCTTGGATTGTAGCGGAGCGTGGCCGAGGACGGACCCTGTTCCCTTGTCCGGCACCGCGGCGATGGAGGCCCTCGCAGAGCGCGCGCGGCCCGCGGAGGGCGAGGCTCCGCGACGCCGCGAGGTGCTCGCAGAGAACGAGAACCTGAGGCTCAGGCTGGACGCAGCTGAGCAGCGGCTGGCCATGGGCGAGCAGCGAGCAGGAGATCGCGGCCTTGGCGCAGCAGCAGCAGCAGGTCTCGGCGAATGCCAGATGGTCGACGCGAGGCTGCTGAACAAGCCGCGCACGTTCACGGGCCTGCGCTCAGAGTGGAAGACGCGGTCGCTCGACTTCGAGGCCTACGTGTTTGCGGCCCACCCCCGACTGGGGGATCTAGTCAACCAGGCATCGAGGACAGCCGACGTACTGACTGCGCAGAGTGAGATGGACGCTGCGCTGAACACTCGGTTGTACTACATTCTGGTCTCGGTGACCTCAGATGTGGCCAGGGTCGAGGTCAGAAAGGCTTCGCGAGGCGACGGGCCCTCGGCATGGTGGCACCTGCTGAGGGAGTTCGCGCCGAAGGAGGCGAACCGCATCGCGGCCATGCTGGGCCGCATCAGTCGGTGCGAGTTCGCCGGCCCCGCGATTGCGAACGTGGCGGGGTTTGAGCAGCCGGCGCGGGAGTGCACTTACCAGAGTGGCGACGTGGCCTCCGACAACATGAAGCGCATATTGTGATCATGTCGGGCATCAAGAACGAGAAGTTGACAGACCACCTCGGCCTGAATGCGTCGCACTCAGAGGAACGCGCGAGGAGAAGCAGGAACTGAAGACGATCTGCTCAGCACAGCGACGATGGGCAGCGACGGACGCTGGTGGCGACGGAGTGGTTCCCGCGCAGGTCGACGCGATTGGCAGGAGCAAAGGGGGCCGCAGAGGCAAAGGCAATGGGCAAGGACAGCAAAGGCAAGCCCAGGGGCGACTCCACGGGCAAGAAGGGCGACTCGAAGGGCAGGGGCCGAGGGACACGCAACTGCCACTACTGTGGGAAGGTAGGCCATCTCGCGGCGGACTGCCGCGCGAAGAAGGCCGATGAGGAGTGTTTCAGGAAGGTTGCCGCGCTGACGGAGTGCCCCCATGGACAGTCTTCGGCCGCTAATGCGGCTTCAGCTCTGCAGGGCAGCGGCGCTGGCTCGCAGGCCAGTCTGGCCCCCGCCGTAGATGTCTCGCACGTGGCGGCGGTACTGGCGCAATTGCAGCTGCTGCAGCAGCGGGGCTTGGCTTCTACGAGCCCAACCGTCCACGTCGCGAACATCAGCGTGACCGACCGTACCGACATCCCAACGCCCGGGGTTTACCATTGGCAGTTCGGCATGCTCTACGACAGGACGCAGTGTGACGCGCTGCCAGTGACGGTCGGCGGCGCGGTGGAGTTCGACTGGGCGCTCTTCGACACGGGCTCAGGATGCACCACCTGCCCCGCAGGAGCTCGCGGACGCGACCGCGATGCTGCGCCCAAGATGCTGCCTCTTTATGAGTTGGCGACGGGCGACGAGGTCAAATCCATGGGCGCGAGGATCGTCGCGGCCGAGAGCGACGGGGTACCTCTGCAGATCGAGTTCCAGGTGGCGAGCGTGCAGCGCGCCATCGTGGGCGCGGCGCGGACACTTTTTGCCGAGGGCGGCCACTTCCAGATCCTCGGCAATGAGCCCTACATGCTGCTGACGGATGGCGGCAAGATCAGGTTGTGCAGGAGCGGGAAGACGTTCTGGCTCAGTATCAGGAGGCCTGCCGAGAACGTTGCGGGGCCTATCCTCGCCAACCCAATCGAGCCGAACATTGAGGCGCGATCCGTACCTCACGAGGCACGTGCCGACGAAGAAGGTGCATTACCTGGAGCAGAAACCGCAGCACCATGCCGATACCAGTGCCACTGGCACCGCTTGCTGCTGGGGGCGCCCAGGATCAACCTGACCAAGAGGGAGATCAGCGTGAAGGAGTGCGACGACAACGCGAAGGCGGAGCGCTACTACGAGTTTCTGGAGAGGCAGCAGCGGCCGCGATGAGAGGGATCCCAGCGATGCCAGACCAATCAATCCAAGATCAGCATCGGCTCACTCACTGGCCCTTCCGCACCTGGCGCCTACTCTGCATCGTGGGCCGCGCCCAGGAAGACCCGCGCAAGCGCTTGGCTGGCCCCGGCCGCCTGATCCAGCTTGTCCGCATCGACTCCGCTTTTTTGGGGGGGCGTCGAGGGCGACCCGCTCACAGTGCTGAACATTCTGGAGTTCCAGTCGGGAGCGATCGAGAGCGCGCAGGTGACAACAAAGGGGCCTGCAGAATGCGCCGTGGCAGTGACGACAGCGGCGATGCGCACGTGGCGCCTCGGCGTCGATGGCGAGCCCGCCATCCAGGCGCTAGTCCGAGCCGCGCAGCCGGCTCGAGACGAGGAGACCGTTCCCCACAGTGGGCCCAGGCGAGACCCCAAGAGCAAGGGAGCAATCGAGAACGCCAACAAGATGGTCGAGGGCATGTTCCGCACTGGGGGCATCGATCGAGTCTCGGTACAGCACCGAGATCACGCTGAACCGCTGGATCATGGGCTGGATGATTCGACACTCGGGCTGGATCCTGTCGCGGTGCCCAGTCAAGGAGGATGGCCGCACCCCCTATCAGCACTTGAAGGGTCGCTCCTACGGAGGAGCTGTCTGCGATAACGGCGAGACGGTGATGTACAAGATCCAGGGCATATCCCACCACAAGGCTGGGATCCGGTGGGGCAAAGCCATTTGGGTCGGGAAGGCCAACCGCACGGACGAGCACCTCTTGGCGACCGCTGCTGGCAGAAAGACGGCGAGGGCCATCAGTGGGCGCGTGGGGGGCCAGCGCTGGTCCAAGAGTTTGTTCAACATGGTCGAGCGCGCGCCGTGGACAGTCGCGCGGGACCAGAAGCAGCACCGCTGCCACCGCGCCGTCGCTACATCACGAGTGCGATCATTGGTCGAGCGGGGCCTGCACCTGGCTGTGACGGCTGCCGCGGACTCGGCCATCCACTCACTGAAATCCTGCCGACAGCGCATCGAAGGCCTGATGAAGGCCGAGGAGGAGAAGGAGAAGCAAGAGGCAGCAGTTCGAGCGGCCGCGTCCGCAGCTGCTGCCGCACCCCCAGGAGGAAACAACATGCCCAACGACGGCCTGGTGCCGCAGGACCTGAACCAATACCGCCTCCAGCTGGAGCACAGGGCCTACAACCTGCTACAGGGGCCGACCAAGGAGCACCGTCGGACCCCATGCAGCAGGACGCCGTGGAGCTGCTGCAGCTGGACGGCATTGAGCTCGGCATGATCGACATGGATTCCAACGTCGCCTTGACGGAGGCGAAGCGGGGGCCGACGCAGAAGGTTATCGCAGGCTTGTGCGTGGACATGCCGACTGCAGTTCTCGCGCTGACATGCGACGCCATCCCCCGCGACAACGCGACGGACATCAGCAAGCAAGGCCTCTACGGCCGCGAGGAGAATTACCATGATATGTCTTCGGGGCGAGATCAGGGCAGAGGCTGGATCCCGCCTTGGTGAAGCGAGGCAGGGGGAAGGAGCACAGGCAGATGGAGGAGTTTCAGGTCTTCGGTAGAGTGCCCAAGCATCTGGCGAAGGGCGAGCGCGTCCGAGGGAAGTGGATCCACGCCGACGAGGGCGGCAAGTTGTCGGCTAGATCGCGTTTCGTGGCCATGCAGTTCGCCTGGGACGTGCGCGAAGGCACCTTTGCAGGCGCTCCACTTTTGGCAGCATTCAGGCCAGTGGCCCCCGTCGCCTCAAGCCTCTACTCCACGGGGGTCGGCTGCGAAGGCATGATCGCGCTCTACGGCGGGCCGGTGGCTTTCATTCACGCGCGCAGTGATGCGGACATCCATGCGGCCTCACCTCGCGGAGAGGAACCAGAAGGCATCGTTTACCAGTTGACGCGAGGTCTCTACGGCACGAGACTCGCATCGTTCCTGTTCCAGATCTTGATCATGGAGGCCACGGGTAAGGGCGTATTCGTGCGCGTCAAGGTGACGGTGCAGGTCTACGACCGCAAGGGGAGGCTGTTGATGGTGATCGTGCATGGGGGTGACTTCCAGGCTGGAGGGAGGAAGGGATCTCTGGACTAGCTCGACGAAAGGTCAAGGTGATGCCGAGGGTAGGCAGCCCTAGGCAAGGAGGAGTCGAGTCAGGGAGCTTCCTCAAGCGGACGGTGACGGCTTGCCCCGAAGGGTTTGGCATCCAGCACGACCGCAAGCACGCGAAGATTCCGGTCAGCACCATGCTCAGCAGGAAGGTCGGTGAGAGCAGCAGCACGAAGCGGGCGATCACCCTTTCCTCCAAGACCACTGGGAAGAATTGCAGGGAGTCATCGGGCGAGCTCAGCACGGAGCACGCGACCACCTACCGCAGCGTAGCACCCACTGCTTTGCACGTGGCTCACGACCGATTCGACATCCAGCAAGCCGTGGGATACCTCATGAGGGGCATGGTTGGGCCCACCTGGCACCACTGGCTATTGCCACAGCGGCTGGCGAGCTACCTGGAGCAGCGCCCGCAGTTCGAGCTCTTTTTCCGAGTTCCAAAGGATGCCCAAGCTGACCGCGGCGGAAGTCGACAGCGATTGGGCGTCCGAGCCTGGTCGGAGGTCCGTGGACGGGGGGGTCCTGTTCATCGGTTCGCACATGATCGACGGCTGGAGTGGCCGGCAATCGCGCGCTGAGCAGCGTGGAGGCGGGTTTCACAGGGATCGCGAACGGCTCGGCGAGGCACCTGGTTGGGGCACGCGATGCTTGAGATGGGGCTTCCAAGGGCATCGCATCACGCTTGGGAAGTGGAAGCGCGCGCCACCTAGAGACGAAATACCCCTGGGTGCAGGAGAGAGCCAGGGGCACGATCTCGATGGGCAAGTTCCACGCGGACACGAACAGGGCCGCTATGCAGACCAAGCCGCTCGAGTGGCCGAGATTCCTGAAGTTGCTGGCGACGCTTCTACTCCAGGCGCCGCCCTCAGGGCGCCCGCATGTGTTCGGAGTGATGTTGGTGGCAACAATACTTGGCGGAGTTCAAGGAATGGAGATGGCCCCAGCGAGCCAGGCGGCGATGGTGATGAGCAGCCCGACCGCGATGTAGCAGGCTTGGACGACGGCCATCACGGTGATGTTCGGATCGGCGCTGGCGATCGCGATCCTTTCCGCGTGGATAGGATACCGCGCGCACAAGGCTCGAATGGTGTTCCTGAAGGGTCTCTGGGAGTTGGCGAGAGATCACGACGATCAGATCGCCCAGGCGGAGGCCCCACCTGGATGGGGAGCATCTGGCGATCGTGGAGAGCGGCATCAGCAGACACACGCAGACGACTCCGATCAAGCACTACTGGACGTGGAGTACGACGGAGCTGCGCGAGGAGCGCCTGCGCTTGGGCAGCTATCGAGGACAGCTCAAGTCGCAGATAATCAAAGACCTGCTGAACGAAGCAGACCGCCGGTGAACCTTGCTTGTGACGCAGCAGCACCGCTCTACATACGCTCGACGCGCCGCGTTGGAGCGCGCGTCGTCTGTTTGAAGAGGACCCTCCTCGCCAGTAGCTCGAGGGCGCGAGGAGATGAAGCCCAGCGTTGAGGCGCTGGCCCTCAGAGGATGAGCTAAATAGGCCCGCGGGCACAAGTGCCAGATCTTGTTTGTGCTAGAGTTTCTCAGGGCGGCTTCTGTTCAGTACGATGAGCCCCAGGCCCTGTGCCGTATGTTACGAGTGCGTTTCTTGGAAAATGATTCGGGAAGTGTATCGGGCTTCGCACGGGTTTATGTTTGATCGTTTGATGCATCCGCAACCGTTGGTGCTCTAGCGCCCTGAGGTGAAAAGATCATCGAGGATGTAGGTCCTGCGGGGCCCATCTCGATCCCGGAACGCTAGCGAGATTCCGCGGGAATTAGCCGAGGTCGGGGGCCAGACCCCCCCCCTCCTGCCGCCCAGTGTCGAAACGCCGAGTGAGAAAACGTGCGCCTGCTCCTTCAGTAGCTCTCTCTCTCTCTCTTTTTTTTTTTTTTTTCTCTCTCTCTCTCTCTCTCTCTCTCTCTCTTCCCCTCCATTATTTGTACTCCTCCTGCTTCTCCTCGTCTCTTCACCTCTTTTGCCTGGCAGGCTCCATGCTCGCGATTTGGAGGCAATCCAATATTATCTGTCCAATCTAAGGACTGCCGCCGAGGGTCCCGTGCGATGAGCTGCGGATTCGTTCCTGGGCTGTCCAGGGGTTTCTAGATTGTCTCGAATTTCGAGGCCGTTGTGGAGGCCTGTTGGGTCACCTCGAGGCCCTCTTGGGCCGTGGTGGGGTCATTTTGGAGGCCTCCTAGTCCGTCTTGAGCCTCCTCCTCCGCGAACAGAAATTATAGCCAGAGTGCAGTATCCCCAAACAGGGTGTTTACACCCAGCGCGGTTTCCAATGTCGATTGCGTACCCGTCCAGTGCGGGCTGGCATGGCATGTTAGAACATGCCTCCTCCTCCTCCTCCTCCTCCTCCTCCTCCTCCTCCTCCTTTTCACCCCGAACAGCATCTCGGAGCCCAGAGGTGCGAGGATGTCTCCAGCGTAACGGGCTGGACCACCTCGCGCGCGGCATCTAGAACCCCAGAGTTGCGACGATGTCTCGGGCGAAACGTGCTGCGAGGAAGTATCAGGCGAAACAGGCCGGACCACCTCGAGCGCGGCGTCTCAGAGTTCCGAGTTGCAGGGGCCTCCTGGGGCATCCTGGCGACAGCACGGGCGTCAGCACGGAGCCTGGAAGAAGAAGAAGTGATCTGCTTCTTTACGCGATGTAAGCCCGTCCAGCTCGGTTTCAGACTCTGCCCATTTTGATGGCGTGGCTGGCCCATTTGAAGCATGCGCCACCACAATTTGATTTGTCAAATTGGCGCGCGCGAGTTTCTCTGCGAATATCCCGCGAATCCAGGCGTAGCTGGAGTGAGGGATTGTGTGCATAGTTTTCCGAAGAGTTCTGTGTTCTGCGGCTTGGGTCCGCTTGATCGTAGTGGGCTCTGGAGTTGCCGTCGTGTGAAGGCCTCCTGGCAGTTCCTGACTCGGTGTCCTCTCATCCTGTGGCCTCCTGGACCCCACCTGGGGCTTCCTGAAGCCTCTTGGGGCTCCCAGGGGGGGATATCTAACATGTGGCCGTCGGGGCCCCCCAAAATGGCGGGGGGGGGGGCCACAAGAGCAGGAAAAATCAACGAATCGACACTGGGTGTGTATTAACTTGACACGTTCTGATAAGGGGCCTCCTGGGGCCTCCTGGGAGCCTCCTGGGAATCTCCTGGGGACCCTGGGGCCTGTCCTGGGCGTCCTGCGGCCTCCTGAAGCTCTCTGGGGCATCCTGTGGCTCCCAGGGTCCCAGGGGGGATATGTAACATGTAACATGTGGTCTTCTGGGCCCCCAGGCTGGACCACCTCTTGGGCGGCATCTGGGAGCTCAGAGTTGCGAGAATGTCTTGTACGAAACGGGCCGGACCACCTTGCGCACGGCATCTCAGAGCTCAGAGTTGCGAGGATGTCTCAGGCGAAACGGGCCGGACCACCCCGCGCAGGGCATCTCAGAGCTCATAGCTGCGAGGATGTCTCAGTAAAACAGGGCTAGGATCGCGATATATCGCTCCAGAGCGTTCCGGAGCGCTCTCAGAGCGTTCCAGAACGCTCTGGAGCGGCCGCGGCGCCCAATACATCCTCCAAACCCGCCGATTCTCAGAGATTTCCAGTTACCCCGATCCGATTTTGTCCCGATCTTTGCGTCATTTTACTAAAGCGAAACGGGCTGGACCACGTCGCGCGCGGCATCTCCGAGGTCAGCGTTGCGAGGATGTCTCAGGCGAAATGGGCTGGACCACCTCTTGCGCGGCAGCTCAGAGTCCAGAGTTTCGAAAATGTCTCAGGCGAAACGGGCCAGACCACCCCGCGCGCGACATCTCAGAGCTCAGAGTTTCGAGGGCGTCTCAGACGAAACGGGCCGGACCACCTCTCGCGCGACATCTCGGAAAGCAAAAGCGCGAGGATGTCTCAAGTGAAACTGGCCGGACCCCCTTTTGGGCGGCATCTCGGGGCCCAGAGTTGCGAGGATGTCTCAGGCGAGACGGGCCGGACCACCTCGCGCAGGGCATCACTGAGCCCAGAGTTGCGAGGATGTCTCCAGCGTAACAGGCTGGACCACCTCGCGCGCGGCATCTCGGACCCTAGAGTTGCGACGATGTCTCGGGCGAAGCGTGCTGCGAGGAAGTCTCAGGCGAAACGGACCACCTCGAGCGCGGCGTCTCAGAGTTCCAAGTTGCGGGGGTCTCCTGGGCCTCCTGGGGTCTCCTGGGGACCTCCTGGGGCTTCCTCCTGGGCCTCCTGTGGCCTCCTGGACCCCGCCTGGGGCTTCCTGAAGCCTTTTGGGGCTCCCAGGGGGGGATATCTAACATGTGGCCGTCGGGGCCCCCCCAAATGGGGGGGGGGGGGGCCACAAGAGCAGGAAAAATCAACGAATCGACACTGGGTGTGTATTAACTTGACACGTTCTGAAAAGGGGCCTCCTGGGAGCCTCCTGGGAATCTCCTGGGGACTCCTGGTGCCTTCCCAGGGTCCCAGAGGGGGATATCTCACATGTGGTCTTCTGGGCCCCCAGGCTGGACCACCTCTTGCGCGGCATCTGGGAGCTCAGAGTTGCGAAAACTGGCCGGACCACCTTGCGCACGGCATCTCAGAGCTCAGAGTTGCGAGGATGTCTCAGGCGAGACGGGCCGCACCACCTCGCGCAGGGCATCTCGGAGCCCAGAGTTGCAAGGATGTCTCAGGCGAAATGGGCCGGACCACCTCGCGCGCGGCATCTAGGACCCCAGAGTTGCGAGGATGTCTCGGGCGAAGCGTGCTGCGAGGAAGTCTCAGGCGAAACGGGCCCGACCACCTCGAGCGCGGCGTCTCAGAGTTCCGAATTGCGGGGGCCTCCTGGGACCTCCTAGAGCCTCCTGGGGACATCCTGGGGCTCCCTCCTGGGCCTCCTGTGGCCTCCTGGACCCCACCTGGGGCTTCCTGAAGCCTATTGGGGCTCCCAGGGGGGGATATCTAACATGTGGCCGCCGGGGCCCCCCCAAATGGGGGGGGGGGGGCACAAGAGCAGGAAAAATCAACGAATCGACACTGGGTGTGTATTAACTTGACCCGTCTGATAAGAGGCCTCCTGGGGCCTCCTGGGAGCCTCCTGGGAATCTCCTGGGGACCCCTGGGGCCTGTCCTGGGCGTCCTGCGGCCTCCTGAAGCTCTCTGAGGCCTCCTGGGGCTCCCAGGGTCCCAGAGGGGAATATCTAACATGTGGTCTTCTAGGCCCCCAGGCTGGACCACCTCTTGCGCGGCATTTGGGAGCTCAGAGTTGCGAGGATGTCTCAGGCGAAACGGGCCAGACCACCTCTCGCACGGCATCTCGGGGCTCAAAGTTTTGAGGATGTCTCAAGCGAAACGGGCCGAACCACCTCGCAAGCGTCATCTCGGAGCCCGGAGTTGCGAGGATGTCTCAAGCGAAACGGGCCAGACCACCTCTTGCGCTGCACCTCGGGGCTCAGAGTTGCGAGGATGTCTCAGGCGAAATGGGCCGGACCACCTTGCGAGCGGCATCTCGAGGCTCAGAGTTGCGAGGATGTCTCAGGCGAAACGGGCCGGTCCACCTCTTGCGCTGCACCTCGGGGCCCAGAGTTGCAAAGATGTCTCGGGCCTCTTGCGCTGCATCTCGGAGCCTAGAGTTGCGAGGATGTCTCAGGCGAAATGGGCCGGACCACCTCTTGCGCTGCACCTTGGAGCCCAGAGTTGCGAGAACGGGCCGGACCACCTCGCGCAGGGCATCTCGGAGCCCAGAGTTGCGAGGATGTCTCAGGCGAAACGGGCCAGACCACCTCTCGCACGGCATCTCGGGGCTCAAAGTTTTGAGGATGTCTCAAGCGAAACGGGCCGAACCACCTCGCAAGCTTCATCTCGGAGCCCGGAGTTGCGAGGATGTCTCAAGCGAAACGGGCCGGACCACCTCTTGCGCTGCACCTCAGGGCCCAGAGTTTCGAGAATGTCTCAAGCGAAACGGCCTGGACCACCTCTCGCGCGGCGTCCCGGAGCGCACTTGTTCGAGGATGTCTCAGGCGAAACGGCCAATCCCGGCCAACTCAGAAACGAGAGTTGTGAGGATGTCTCAAGCGAAACGGCCAGGACCATCAGATTTTTGTGAGGATGTCGCTGCTCCCCTTTCCCTCGGCTGGAGTTTGCTTTTATCACAACAGCACCCCGTTCAGCAAGCTGTTTGAGAAAAACGAAAAGCGCGTTGATGCGGAAATGCTTCGACGACTGAACGATGTTGCAAAGGCCCTACGGCCGGCTCCGCCAACCTTGGAAAGACTGTCAAGGAGGAGAGGGGGGAGGAGGAGGAGGAGGAGGAGGAGGAGGAGGAGGAGGAGGAGGAGGAGGGAGGAGGAGGAGGAGGAGGAGGAGGGAGGAGGAGGAGGGAGGAGGAGGAGGAGGAGGAGGAGGAGGGAGGAGGGAGGAGGAGGAGGAGGAGGAGGAGGAGGGAGAGGAGGAGGAGAGGAGGAGGAGGAGGAGGGAGGAGGAGGAGGAGGAGGAGGAGAGGAGGAGGAGGAGGAGAGGAGGAGGAGGAGGAGGAGGGAGGAGGAGGAGGAGGAGGAGGAGAGGAGGAGGAGGAGGAGGAGGACGACGACGACGACGATGAGGAACCGGAGTAGGAAGAAGAGCTGGAGGGCGAGGAGGAGGAGGAGGAGGATGCGGAGGAGGAGGATGACGAGGAGGATGAAGAGAATGAAGAAAAGGAGGAGGACGGTGGGTGCAGTGCCGTCCGGTTTCGCTCGTGATCTTCGGAGGTTTTCGTTTGATTCGGGCTCCCCCTCCTCCGTCTCCTTTTTCTCCATTTTCTAGTCCTCGTTCTCATTATGCTGGTCCTCCTCCTCCTCCTCCTCGTCGTCCTCCTCCTCCTCCTCATCGGTTCGTGGGCCATTCTTCGTCGAGTTTCGTCGATTCTCGATATATTGCAGGTTTCTCTCCGCTTTAGGCCTCCAGGATCTGGTTCAGGGAGCCGTTATGGCGGGCTGTTGGGCCGTCTTGGAGGCCTCCTTGAGCAGTCTTGGGGCCCTCTTTGGCCGTTGCGGGGCCATCTTGGAGACCTCTTGGGCCGTCTTGGGGCAATCCTGAGGGCCTTTTGGGCCGTCTTGGTGCGTCGGGAAGCCGAAAAGGCCAGAACGGCCAAATCCTTCAAACAACTAAGCGAATCTATGATTTGTGCCTCTTGAGGCACTTCTGGGAGTGCTCCTGGAGGCCTCTCGGGCCGTCTTGGAGGCCTCTTCGGCCGTCTCGGGGGCCTCTTGGGAGTCTCGGAGCGATCTTTCAGGCCTCTCTTGGATTCTCATGGGCCTGAATTGCCGACAGAGGACCACATTTCTTCGAAGGCGACCCGAAAACGGAAGGGATCAGTTGCATTCTGACCCAGGACCCCCCCCCCGGGGACCCCTTCCCAGGACCTCCTCCCAGGACCCCCCCCCCGCCCCCGGGCGGGGCAGGGATCAAAGTGAGAGGGGCTTCACTTCGACTCGAGCAGGACTTCGATTAGGGCCTGGCTCGATTCGCCTCGGGGTGAAAAAAATGGTCTTGGGAGGGTCTCCGAGGATGGAACGTTCGAATCGAAGGAACGCTCGTCTCCCAGGGTCACTCCAGGATGAAGTCGGGCCTGTCCCCCTACAGGAGGGATGTTCAGACACAGTCAAAACATAATGCGGGGACGATGTTTTGACAATGTTGGAGCATTTTTGAGGTTTTGTAATTCAAGAAAAACTGTTTTACACATTTTTCGCCCAACATCCCCCTGTATGGGGGACAC